GTGGGCCAGATCTTACTTCTACTTCCTCCGTTCCAGCCCACCTTGGAAATGTACAAAACCCACACCAGTTCCTCTGAGAATGCCCAGGTCTCCTGGACTTAGAACCTATTTATTAGATTGGATGGAGCCTATTTTCTCCTTCCTTATGCTGCCCTCGGCAAGGGGCGAGACCTCACACCCACCCTGCCTCTTGGTTCTGTGGCCCTGCCCCAGGCCATGTTGCTGAGCCCAACTGCTCACTGTAACAACCCAGGGACAGAAGTGGAATGAACGACCTTAGGAATTATGTGGAAGAAATAGACTCGCTGCACTGTGTTCCCTCTTCCCTCACATCAAACTCTTAGTTCTACAAGGATGTTATTTATGTATTTATTTATTCTTCTATTTATTTATTTATTTATAAATATTGCTATTTATTGCCGAGTTGTGCACTTTGGGGTAGAGTCAGGGAGACTTCCGGGAAGTCTTGCCAGGTCTCTCTTGCTTCCTCCCTGCTTACTCCTTTCCCTTTCTTGCTCCTCTGCAACGCCAGGTGTGCCCGTTTGCGCACCACACCCATATCCCTTCCTCAGATCAATCTGACTTATACCCTCATCTTCTGGGCTGGTGCTCTTTCCCCAGCCCTGGGGCTCCTGAATGTCTTTCCTCAGCTCCCTCTGTCCCAGACAATCCTATCCCAGTCCCTCCTGCCACTTTTCTCTCTCCAGCCTCCCCATGGCCCTCACTTCTCATGATACTTCTCACAGTGGGCCCCTGGGGTCTATGTCCTGTGCCCTGTGTGTTATTTCCTCCTATTCCATTTCTGATTTCATTTAAAGAAAAGAACAGAACAAATTAAAGAGACCTCATTCTAGCACCAGGTATGGCTGTGGTTTATTTGATTGGGTTGGGGAAGCTGGCATGCAGGTTATGGCAGGGTGGGCATTGAGGTTCCTCAGCTTTGAAGGCTCCTCTGATAGGAGGCACAAAAGCCCAGTGCGGTAGGTAAGTGAAGACAGAGAGAAGGGGCCACAGGGTAAAAAGGTGCAGGGGAGAGTGGAGCACGTGATTCCAAGACTTCCCCACCTAAAGCTACAAAGACCCCAATTTGACACTTATTAGATGATATTCTGACTCCTCTTGTGTTGTGCTCCTTTTCCTGCTCCCTATGGGTCTGAGAAGGAGCTGATTGTTCCAGTGGAATCCAAGTCTGTGAGTTTGTGTTGCTGGGAAAAGTCACTGCATGAAATTAAGATGTAACCTTTCCCATTATTGTCTTTCATCTTGGTCAGAATCCTTGCAGTCTCAGTTTTGGGCCCCAGCCTTAGAATATGATGGAGAACACAAAGAAGGACTTGAGACTGATAGAGGAATGAGGAGAAAGTTAAAAAGGAGTGCCCAAAGAACATTAAAGGAATCTTGGGAGGGACTCTCAAATCAATTGGTAGAAGAGGACACTGAAGTCTAGCGAGAAGAAGAGCCTTGCCCAAGCTCACACAGTTGTGGGTGGAGCTAAGGCTCAAACACAGGTTCTTCATACCTTATGCTGCCAATCCCCTTCTGTCTCCCTGCAGTGACCAGTCTGGCAGGTGGCGCTCACTTTTGGACCCCATATTTTAACAAAAACATTAACAAACTAGAGACTATCCAGAGTTGTGTGGCCAAGAAGCAAAAGGACCACTTCATAGGAGGAATAATTGAAAAACTAAGGATAAAGTTCTTTACAAGAGTAGATTTAAGGGCAATATGATACCCATCTTTAAAATTCTGTGTGGCCCCAGAAGGCAGAACCAGAGCCAGTGAGTGGAAGATAGAGGAAAGCGCATTTTTAACTCTAAGAAAAACTGTAACACCTGAAGCTGTCCAGCAATGGAAGAGACTGCCTCAGGAAGGAGAAATCCAAATATTTGCCGATCGTTAGTAGTCATCAAGTTGATTACACTCATGAGTTTTCAAGGCTATGACCTTTTGGAACTAGATCACCACGCCTGTCTTCTGCCTGTCTTCTGGGGCACCTCAGCGTGGGTTGAACCCACAATCTTTGTGCTAGTAGTCAAAGGCTTAACTGTTTGTGTTACCCAGGGGGAAGCTGAATAATCAATCTTTTGAAGCGATACCAGAGAGGGAGCGAGAACACATCCCTGCTCAAATGGAAGACTGGCCAGATGAACTCAATGATCCTATCCAAATGGAAAGCAAACAGTGGGAGTAAAATACCAAGATAGCCTTCAGTCTCCACTGAGCAATGAATGACATCAGCAGCAAGAGGAGTTTGAGTTAGACTTAGGGAGGAACTCACATGTAGGAAGGATTTGACATTTGCCCTTCCCCCATCTGAGTTGGATCTGCCCAAGAGCCTGGCAAGAGTTTGGAGGGGAGCAAAAAAAAAAAAAATCACCTAATCCAACAACTTTTCCTAAAGGGCTGGTAAACTGCCATCCAGAAAGGTGAAGTGATGAGGAAAGACTGGGACTAGAGTCTCCCATTCTTGGCCCCAAGAACTTTGCACCTTGCCATGCCCAGCAGCCATAGTTCTCTGAGCTCCCAGCCTCCCTTTCTCATTTCATTGCCCCACTAGAGAGCAGAAGGGGTTACTGGGCCCCTCCCCTCAGTGATCCCTCAGGGGCTGGGGGTGGTGAGAAGGGGCAGCTGCAGCTGTTTGACTGCTAGCTCCGAATTTCTTCAGATAATCAATTGGCCTCGCTGCGCTCTGCTCCGCAGGACTGGAGAAGAAGGGGGAGGGGAAGGGCACAGGGGACAAGGCAATGGGAGAGGAGATGGTGGTCAAGGGGTTATCAGGGAGATGAAAGTCCCCAGGGAAAGTGAGACTCTGGGCCAGCAGACAGGGCAGAGGGAGGAAAGGGCTGGAGTTTCACATCCTTCCACAACTCAGCAAATGTGTCAATGGGGTGGAGGTGGGAGGTTTGGGGGCACCAGTCTAGTGGGGTTTTGCACCTCCCTCCTCCTCCAACCCCTTCCCTGGTGTCCCATCGATGGCCAGGGCTGCTTCCAGCTGTCCCTGCCCTTTCCCTCCTTAGTTACCACAGGCCCCTGACCCTGCAGTCCTATCTGTTGTAATTACTCCCTTCTGCCCTCTTTCTTGGCAAACACCACCCCCAGCGACAGAGCAGACGGTAGGGCTCCAGGGGTTTGAGAGTGAAGGGTGTGGGGGGACTCTGCTCTTAGCCACTGCCCCTGACACACACATTGTCGTAGGCTGCCAGGCATATGGCCCCTTTGTGCCCACACAATGGAGGCCCTGACTGTGCCCCTTTCCCAGTCTGGGCACGGGGGCACCTCTCCCTCATTTCACCCACCACCATTCCTTCTCCATCCCCAATACAGCACCTGCCTTCTTTGCCTTCTCTTCTTCCTCAGTTTGGAAGGCTTCTGACATCACCCCCTTCTTTTATTTTTCTGTTTCTTTCTTGTTTTTTCATGTCCTTTTCTGAGCTCTTGAAATCTGACTAGACAGAAGGAAGAGGCCAGCAGGAGGGCCCCATCATAGAATGTTAGTGTGTGTGTGTGTGGGGGGGGGAGGAAGGCAGCAAGCAGAGATGCTGGGGCGTGGGGATGACAAGGAGTGGAGACAGTGGTGGTGGTGGCAGCAGCAACGTGGTGCTAGATGGGATTTTCACTCTAATTGGTAGCCAAAGGACCTGAGGACCAGCTCTAAGTTCACCTTTATTCTTTGTGCCACAATAAGCAAATCACATGCTCTCCTTGGATCTCAGGGTTGTTGTCTGTAAAATGGGGAAGAGAATAAGACTCCCCTCACAGGATGTTATGATGATGAAGTGAGAGCATTGTGGCAGTGCTTAGCATAAGTGCTCATTGAATGGTACCATAGGGGCTGTCAGTAGCAAGGCCAACCTACACAGTTGTACAGTTTATGTGCTGTACAAGGCACTAGGCCAGGGAAGTGGAGGGATCTGACATCACCCCTGACTCTGCAAGAACAGTTGTGTACCACTGAAGATGCAGCAACCCCCCCAGAAGGGATTCACCTTTCTATTTTCCACCAAGATGCCGCAGTAATAGCTAGTGGTGTCCTTCATGAGGTTACTGAGTGTTGATCAGGTGTCCAGTGGAAAACCCAGGAATCCTGACTGCCTTGCAAACCAAGGTAGAGTGGGAAGAGACAAGAGGCTGTGGGGACGCCAGAGTGAGAGATCCGTGTGCTCACTCTTTCTGGGAAGTTGGGAATAGTGAACTGGCTAAGTTCTCAGCT